GTACATATGGTCCCTAGTACAACTGGTGTCTGCTCTTCCTGCTTCTTAGGGGCTTTGGGCTTTTTATCTGGCTGTTCCCTCTGCCAACAGACCTCAGTCCTATGAGAATAACACTAGTAACAGTGTTCTTCAGTCAGAGCTAATCTGCAGTTCTTCCCATGCATAAGCACCTGTAATCCCTACTTATTCAAGGGTGGGGAGTGAAATTCCTATAACCAGAAGAGAAAGATTCATCTGATTTTAATTAGTTGGAGGCACTTTGGGATTGTAAGGTTTTCTGTCTGTGATATGTATGCATTCCAAAAGCTGTACAGCAGACAATCTCAAGTTTTATTTCTTACTCCAGCCTCACCTGATGAGCCAGGATCTCCCTGAAGACTGGGACAGGCAGCCTGTCAAAGTTCTTGTGGGGAAGAATTTTGAGGAAGTTGCTTTTGATGAGAATAAGAATGTCTTTGTGGAGTTCTGTAAGTAGTTTTCAATATCTGTTTCCAAGTGAATGGTATGAAAGCAGGTGTCAAATTCTCCATGACTGGGGTTGGGGAGAGAGCATCATACAGAACAAACCACAGAGGCATCTGTTGAAAATACATGTGTGAACTTGGTTGTCTGCCATGGAGTTAAATGATGTTATGTCATTAGAGTGTTGGTGCTAGCAGTATCTCTGTTAATTAACAGATGCCCCCTGGTGTGGTCACTGTAAGCAGCTGGCTCCTATCTGGGACAAGCTGGGAGAGACCTACAGGGACCATGAGAACATTGTCATTGCCAAGATGGATTCAACAGCCAATGAAGTAGAGGCAGTGAAAATCCACAGCTTCCCCACGCTCAAGTTCTTCCCTGCAGGCTCTGGCAGAAATGTAAGAAGGCGGCTGACCTTTGTACTGATGGAATAACAAGGGAGCACTGGAAATGCTCAGTTGTCTGCTTGAGTTTGTTTCTGGGCAAAAGCTTGTGGGAGGGCTTTCCCTCCTGTAGAGATGGAAGGCATCAAGTCTACAGAAGGTGTGAGACTCTGTGCGGGAGGGTGGGTTCCAGGAAGCAGTTGGTGGGGATGGGAAGTGGGAACTGGGAAAGAGAGGAAGCATAGCAGAGGACTGTGCTCATCTGCAGGCTATTCTCTCCTCGCAGTGATCTCTGAAGTCTAGTGGCTGAGCTGTCTTCATTCCTCTCATATGGGTGAAGGTGAATTTTCAAATTCCCTTTTGCTTGGCATGTTAACTGCTGCTCAGAAAGAGAATTCTCCTCTCCAGGGATGTGGTTCCGTGGGTGCCTGTAACAACAATTTTGGTGTGTTCTCCTGTGCAGGTAATTGATTATAATGGGGAGAGGACGCTAGAAGGCTTCAAAAAATTCTTGGAGAGTGGAGGCCAGGATGGAGCAGCAGCTGATGATGTGAGTAATAATTAATACATTATTCTCTAAATACAGCTCTCTGGAACACAGAGCTTGGATTATGTGCAGGAAGGCATTGCTGGTGAGCCAAAGCGTCTCACAAAACATGGATAGTCTGTTCACTTGAAGCCTGGCTAGCTGCTGGCCTGTAATGAACTGCTTTTATTGCAAATGCTGGAGTTGGGTGTTTAAAATGAAGAAACCTTTCTGGGATGCTTAAGTACAAATGCATGTAAATGGATACTAAAAGCTTCAGGCTTGAAAAAGCAGCCTTTATAGCTGGTGTGCAGACTGCTGGAGTACTTGGGTTTTCTTAAAGAAGCTTGCTGGATGGCTGGAAGCTGAGTGCTGCAATGAACATCGTGCATGCTGTGTATTTGGTTAGCAGCTCCTCAGCTGTGTGGGCAGAGGGTATTACAAATGCAGGCACCAGCTTTCAGAGGGTTCTAAGCTGTGATTTCTGTGAAGAGTTCCAAAGTTTGGGATACGTTGTTAAGATGGCAGCAACAGAACAGGTTCTCTAACTTCACAGTATTTATTTTTGAATGTGCCTGATAGGCCAGAAACAAAGTTATCTTCTGTATGCTATACAGGATCTGGAAGATCTGGAGACAGATGAAGAAACAGACCTTGAAGAAGGTGATGATGATGAGCAAAAAATCCAAAAGGATGAATTGTAAAGAGATGACTGATCTACATCACCCAAAAATCAGACACTAAACTGGTTGCTGTTACGCAGCCCAATGAGTCAGAAACCCATTAAGATTTAAAGCAGAAGGTGAATGACTGGAAGTCCAGGGATTGGCTCTTAAAATAACGCTTCACCCTCACTTGTCTTTACACTTCACTATCTCTTTCTGTCTTTTCACTGTTGAGAAGGGATCTATCACTAGGGTAGCCAGCCCAGCCACCTGGGTTCATTATTTTTTTTATTGTGATGTACTTTTTTGTACACAGTTCTTGTTTCAAGTATTCTGTTCTCTTGGGTAGAAGAAAGTTGTGAAGTGGTAGCATGTAATTAATTGCCCAACATTCTGGAGCATTGCCACTAATACCTTCCAAGAAAGCCTTTTTTATTTTTTTCTTTGAAAAGTCTGTAGATTTCTCCACCTGTCGGGTTCTTATTTGTCTCAGCTTTTCTTCCCTGGAATCAAAGTATGCAGGGGAAGAGGCAATATAGGCTGACTGCATCAGTCCTGGTGGAAGGTGGATGTGAAGGTGCTTCTCTTTGTGCTCACTAGACATTTCATTTCCTTTCCCTTCTGCTTTAAGACACTTAAAGATGACTTCAAAATGTGGAAGGGTGGAATACTGTGCACTGGCTGTGGCAGGCTCTGAGGGTGGAAGTGATTGCTGGCTCACCAGCTTAGATGTGCTGTGCCATCCTTTTGATCAAATGCAAGACCATTTTGCAGTCACTTTCCATGCATTATTTTGAATGGGTTGACCAGAAAGGTGGGTGGTATGGGAGGGCCTGATTAAAACATACATGAAACGTGGAATTTGCAATTACTGGGTTTGGGGGAGGAACTTGAACAAGGGAGTGCCTCAAAGGCCTGACCTGCATCAGGCCTCGTTCTTAGCATTCCGCTTATAATAACATTGGAACTGAATTTGTTGGCCAAATAAAGTCGAGATTTTAATACTATTATGTCTCTAAATTTCTTCTGGAACTCATACTGAATATTTGGATCTGATCTGACAGGATTAAACTTTTAGAGTGGTTCTTGAGTGATTCTACCTAAATGGTATTGGGGGGAAAAAAAAACCATAAGCTTTTTTGGAAGGTTACACTGCTTGGCTCCTTCCAATTCTGCAGGTGGCACTACATGCCTTGAACAGCCTGAAGCAATTTCTATTAACTAATCTATACTTGCAAACAGAGATTAACATATTGTGCTCAGTAAATGAGTTTATGCAGGCAGATGCCCTATTAGCAGTCAGCATGCATTGGCTGGAGCTCTGAGAGTAAGCTGCTCTGGCTGCCAGCTGGCTTGAGATGATGGGACCTCTTTGCTCTTGAGCATTTAACCAAGGAATTTGCCCACAGGGAGACCTGGGGCTGCCTGAAGCTCTGCTAGTCAGGCTCACATGATCTAGTGAGCCACATTGCTATTTCCACACCAGTCACTTACTGCTGAAAATATTTTTGTGGGGAAATTTGCTAAAAATGTCACAGCAAACCTAGAGGGCACCTCAGGAGGTTGCTGGGGCCAGTTGCTTAACTTAACTTTGGTACACAGGAGTGAGAGAGCGCTGGGCTCCAACCACTGCTCAGCGCTGGCTTGTTATGCACCAACCTTCAGAGCAGCAGTGCTGGGCCTGCTGATAGGCAATGCTACAGGTCAGCAGTGGCTCTGGATAAAAAAGGTTTTTTATGTTTGGGAGAGGGGCAAAAGAAGACCCTCAGAAGTTCTGTGGGAATGTTCCTGGCTAGGAATCAGAAAGGTCAATTCTGGGGAGCCAGAAGAAGTGTAAACAAGGCTGAGCTCTGAAGTGGGGCTGGATTGCTTACAGATCTGTTCAAGGGAGGGGGGCTTTCTCATGCACTCAGGCTGCTCTTGGCAGAGCAGGGCTCTATTGGAGTCATCTTGTGTATACATCACTGCTGCAGGCTGAGAGCCTTCTGTCTCTGCAGCAGATGGCTGGGCCTCCTGTTGTGTGGTGCAAAGCACTGCTGAGCAGAGATCGGTGTCTTGGCCAGAAGATGACAGCTGCAGCAGGCACTTCCCAGGTGTGAGACAGGCTGACCTGGCAGGAGCTTGGTAGAAGGTTAAGCTGCAACAGTGCAGAACAAATGTTCTGTGACTCTTGAAGTGGGATAGGAATTCTTCCTGACGTGTTGCATGGCTGTACTGTCTGGGCAGGCCACATCAAAAGCAGCACAAAATGCTTGAAATCACCAAGCATGATTATAACAAGGATGGAGGAGCGGTTGTTTGAGCCCTTGGCTGATTTATCTCATAGTCAATGGCCTGTTTCAGGCCTTTAATGGCCATAGCAGCTGTGTGGCAGTGGTACTGTTGCTGTGAAGCTGCTCAGTATTAACACACTGTCATACAGCAGCTGGTTCCAGGTCTGAAGCAGGACCACAGTCACCATGCAGCTTGTTTGCATCACCAGGAACACCAGCAGCATTTCAGCCCTCGGAAGGTCACTCATGGCACCCATGTGCTGCTGGTGTTCTCCTGGCCTGGCTGTGCTCCACGCTGCGATCGTGCTGGGAAGCACAGCTCATGCTGCTCCCTTGCAGGTCAAGCTGATGCAACTACAGGAAAGTGACTCAGGTCTGAGTGTACTTGGCACCATCATAAACAAGCAGCTGGCTCCCCTCGCCCGGTGATTGCATTTGTGTCCTATCCCTGGCATGCTGGTGTGTATGCGAGGACTTGGTGCTGGAAGTTCTGAGCTCCTCTGGAGGGCCCTCCATGCTGAGCAGCAGCTTTGACCCCTTGGATGGGCACATCAACAGGTGGGCGGTAAGATGAGACACCAACCTCTGCCCAAAAGTGGGAGGCTCCGGCCTGAGCAGCTCGATTACCAAATATCAGAGTAAGCAGCATGAGCTCCACGTCCCCAAAATAGCCCCCAGAGCCTATATAACACCGTGCCCCTGGAGAACCGTCAGTCCTGGGTCCAGAGTGGCACACGGCCGTTGCCACCTGCAGGCTCAGCAGGCTGCTCACAGCAGGCCCAGCGGGGCCAGGATCCATCACACCTCCCAGCAGAGACGAGCCTGAGAAGGAGAGAAGAAAGCTTTGAGGGGAGCACGGGCTGAGCGTTGCCCACACGGCTGTCGTGCAGCCTCCACATTCCTGCACAGCATCCTGGGGCTGCGGGCAGCATGAAGGACTATTTCCCAGTCTCAATGCCCCGGTACAGTCGGTATCGCCAGAGACTGAGAGCTTCACGTACGGTGCACTTCCCCAACGACGTCGTCTTTCAGGACCACATCAGGCAGGGGGACCTGGAGCAAGTGGGCAGGTTCATACGTGCCAGGAAAGTGACTCTGGACACCATCTACCCCTCTGGTGAGTGCTGCGAGCTGCGCAGTGTCACGGCTTCTTGGGAGCAGTGCGGACACAGCTCGGCTCCGGGCTGCCCATGGCAGTGTGGTGGTTGAAAACAAATTGTTTTCTTTCCCTCGTGAGGAGTTCTGCCCCCAGCGTTGCCAGTAGGGCCTGAGAGAGCCCTGCCTCATTGCCCCAGCACCTCCCCTCAGCAGCACAGTCAGCATGTGCTTTAGGAAGGGGAAAACAAGCCAGCATGGGGTGGCCAAGAAAAAGAGCAGGAATGCAGATAGCGACAAAGAGCGTGGGTGGGTATGCGGAGTTCAGGGCTGGGCAGTGGGACCCTCGCCTCTTCTACCCTGGTTCTGGGAAGGAGAGAGGAGAAGCGAGGTTCTGTTTTGTTCCTGGCTCCAGCCATGGCTCACAAAGCACTGCTCTCACTCACACGCATGGATCTGCGGCCTTGCAGAATTAATGTTTATGGAGAAGGCATTGTGTTATGTTTGTGCCCAGCCTCGCTAAAAACTGTTTATGGAATGCCTTGAACCAATACAGGCTGGTGCAGAGCCCAGAATTTGTCTCTTTCGTGTGCTTGGCTTTGGCATCTGCTGTCACATGGCCCCAGAGGCATGATCTCAAATGACCCACGCTTACCCCCACATATGCTGATTGCCTCATGCCTCACTCTGGAAAGAACTTCTGACTGTTGGGCAGTGCAGGGCTGGTGTCTGCGTGTGTCCTGGAGGAGACAGGGGCCAGGCCACGGGCAGGGGCTCGACAGAGCCTCAGATGCAGGGGAGAACTGTGGAAACAAAAGCGACACACGTGCTGCACCTCCCCCATAGGGTAACATATGCAATAAAAACAGAAACCAGCGGCAGCCACTCTCAGTTCCTCCCGCCTCGTGTCCTTTCCCAAACCCATCTCCCCAATGCTGAGGGCTTATGGCACCACTCCTTCCCAAGCTGTGCTCAGCCACGTGCCAAGCCGTCCCTTCCTCGCAGGCATGGCTGCCCTGCACCAAGCGGTGCTCACGGGGAACCTGGACTGCGTCAAGCTCCTGGTGAAGTACGGCGCCGACATCCACCAGAGGGACGAGAACGGCTGGACGCCCCTGCACATGGCCTGCAGCGACGGCCACGCCGATATCGCCAGGTGGGCACCACGGGGGGCCGGGCTGGGCTCGGAGTGCCGCCCGGCTCGGAGCTCACACTGTCGCCGCCGCAGGTACCTCTTGTCGCTGGGAGCCAGCCTGGAGGCAACCACGGACGACGGGGAGAAGCCGTCGGACCTCATCGACCCCGAATACAAGGACCTGGTGGAGCTTTTCCAGGCCGCCACGATGGACTGAGGGGGACGGGCGTCACGGCCGGGCAGCGGGGCTGCGCGGGGCTCGGGCTGGGTCCGGGCGGGGCGGCGGGGCGCGCTTTGTACTTTTCCAATAAAGCTTTCGGACACGGCGCGAGCAGCCGCTATGGGGGGGGGGGGGGGGGGGGGGGGAACGACCACGTGACGTAGGAGCGGGACCACGTGACTTAGTGGGCGGAGCCGCGCCTGCTCGGGGGCGGGGCCGCGCCTGCGCGCCGCGGCGCTTCCGTGGCGGCCCGAGGGCGAGCGGAGGCGGGAGTCGGGCCCAGGTGAGGGGCGCGCGTTGCCATGGCGACGGGCTGAGGGCGGCCCGCGGCCTAGCCCCGGCCTGGCCGCCCTCTCCTTTCTCCCCGCAGCCGCGCCGAGCCGAGCCGCGCCGCCGCACGCACCGCGCCATGGCCAGGTGAGCCCCGCCCCGGCCCCGGGCCCAGCCGCGGCCCCGGGCCCCGCTCAGCCCCGCGCTTCGCTTTCAGCTCCCCCGTGTCTCGCGTCGTTTACAACGGCAAGCGGAGCGGCGGCCCGCGCTCCCCCGGCGCCGGCAGCGAGATCTTCACGCCGGCCCACGAGGAGAACGTGCGCTTCATCTACGAGGGTGAGCGGCGGGGTTGGGGGCGGGGTTTGGGGCCGCGGCCGCCGCCGAGCGCCGCGCGAGCCGCCCGGCCGTGTTCCCGCAGCCTGGCAGTGCGTGGAACGCGACCTGCGCAGCCAGATGGGCTCCGAGCGCGGCCTGGTCGAGGAGTACGTGGAGAAGATGCCGAACCCCAGCCTGAAAGGTGAGCGGCCGCGCCCTCCTTGCGCCGCGGCCGGAGGCGCCGGGTCGGCCCCGGGGCGGGGAGCTGCGGTGCGGCCTCTGCCGCCAAAGGCTGTGCTCTGTTCTCCGCAGCGTTTAAACCCGTCGATCTGAGCGACCTGAAGCGGAGGAACACACAAGATGCAAAGAAGTCGTAAGGCAGGTCCTCCGCTCGTCGGCTGGTCTTTAAAGTCCTCAAGCAGATTTAAGTTGAGATTTTGTGTTATTTCCTCCTCTGGTTACTGTACTCCGCCTGTGGGAGAGCCGGTCAGCTCTGGGGCTGGCTTTGGAGCTACCTGAATTCTACGATGCTTAGGGGCTCACTGAAGCTAGACGGAGCCCTCTGTAAAAGATTGCAGCCCCTGACCCACAGCTTCCTCAGGCCTCTGTGCTGCGATCACCGGTCACTTGTTCTTCCATCTCTATCCCTGGTGTGCTGAGTATTCAGGCTTCCTGGGTTCTGGGTGCAGGGTAGGGCAGAGCACCCGTGCTGTCGGTAGAGGCAGTGCCAGCTCTCTGCTCCCTTCTGTGCACCGAGGGCTCACGGGTTCTGGAGTGGACCAAGGGGAGAAGGAAGGAAACCTGGTGCTGGCCTGGTGCTGAGGGACACACTGGCAGCCCCAGTCCAGCAGTGGGCAGTTCAGCACCATCGGGCAGCTCACTGCTGCCACTTTGGCACTCTTTGCCTATTCTTTGCTCCCTGGTTGGAGGGCTTAATTTGTACCTAGTCTGCTAATGCCCAGGACTCATCAGTGTTGCCAAAGCTCTTTGGTTTACATCCAACGCCAGATTTTCCTTGTGCTTATATTGGGCCATATCCTTGTAGTGCTGGTAGTGGAGCTGCTCCTCTTTCCCTGTGAGGGGGGGGGAGAGAGAGGCTCCAGCCCCAAACATTTCGGAGATGCTTTGAGCACGAGCACTGAGTTGTGCTCAGCCACCTCCCACCCTCAGCCTGGAAGGTGGTGGTGGGGGAGTGGCTAGCTCTGACTTAGGATAAAAAAGCTCATTTGCATCCTTGCCTGAGCAACTCCTGCTGTTTGAGCACTAACACTACTTCCCAAACATGCACCCTTTGAAGAGACCTGTTGTCCACAGCTTGCAGTAGCATTGTGTGCAGGCTGTGGTGGTCTGGTCTGACTTGCCCTGCAGGCTGGCTTTCTCTGGACCCTTGCTCCTGTCTAATCATTTCTGTGCAGGGAGGGTGACTGTGCCCTCGTGCCTGTGTGGGCAGAGCAGCTGTGGGGCTTCTCAGTGCCTCTGGGGGCGTGGGGAGCTGTGGGAACAACTTCCTGCCTGTGCTGAGAGCTGGCAGGGAAGGAGCTGCAGAGGCTCTGCCCAGCACGTGGTGGATTCAGAGTGCAGGGGAGTTGTGGTTGCTGTTAACTTTCCTTCGTTGCGTCATTGAGCTATACTGTCCCTTTTTTTTTTTTTCCTTTTTTTTTCCTTTTTTTTTTTTTTCCTGTTGTCTGTCACTTGAGGAGTGTTGTAAATAAAAGCTGGTGTTCTTTTGAGTCTGCCTCTGTGTGGCTCTGCCTGCTCCTCCGTTGCACGTCACAAGCATCAGCTCCGGGGCCACCTCTGCCTGATGTCGCCGTGTGCTGCTCGCCACAGGGCTGTGCTGGCACTGGAGCAGTTCCACAGCACTGCCTGCTGCCTGCCTGGCCGTGTGGGTGCCCAGTGGCCACGAGAGGCCTTGGTCACTCTGTGGGCATTGGACCCAGCTGGCGGGGCCGTGCTCTGCTGTGCCCTCATTCGGCCCCCTCTGCCTTTGAGCTGTGTGTGCGCCTTGCTCTGCTCTGTGTCTGTCTGCACCCTTTCTGGAGTAGTGCCCTTACTCTTCCCTTTTTTTTAGGTTTCCAAACTTGTCCTGTTTTGTTGCTTAAATGCTGTGTTTCTTATTTTAGACTTCAGTGCTGACAATAACCATCAGAGTTTTCTGTGCCTCTTCAGGCCTGGCCGAGCCCTAAGGACAAGGATCGCAAGGAGCAGAAGCCACCTCAATTATTGATTTATTCATTTTCCAGAAGGGATCTTGCCCTTGCACTTGCTCTGGGCTCTTAATTTCACTGCAGGCATGTACAGCCTGGCACCGTGTGCTGGTAGCACAATGCCCTTGGGCTCTGGCAGCCCTCCTGCGAGCCAGCATCCTGGGATCTGTTGCTGGACCAAAGATTGAAATGTTCAGACTATTAATACACTCGTATCCTTTTCCCTCTCCTGCATTTATGGCATTTAAACTATACTTAGCATTGCTAGAATTTCTCCTCAAGTGCACCTCTGTGCTGCGCCGTGACCCTGTTTGCCTCCCATCTCCAAAACACTGCTGTGGAGCACAGCGGTGCTCGGCCACAGGATGGTGTCTGGGCAGCGCTGCGCTGCAGGAGGTGCCCTCTGTCGGGAGCAGCGGTGAATGAAATGACTGCTGCTGCCACTGCAGCTCGTCTCCGCCGGCTTTTCCCTCCAGGTGGGCCATTACCTGCAGCTTCTCATGGCTGCTTGCCAGCAGCAGCGTGTCCAACATTTCCCAGGGGAAATGCATGATGCACACGAGGCTGCGTCCGTGTGCTGCAGCGTGGCAGCCATGCAGCTGGGTCCCAGCAGGGAGCAGAGCACTGGGGTCTGAGGATGGGGCACGAGGCTGCAGGGACCCCAGTCGGCTGCGTCCCACCGCCACGCTGCCGTGGCAGAGCTCTGCTTGGGGCCCAGCAGCCTGGCCCTGACGGCCTCTTGCCTTGTTTTTCTCTTGGCTCAAGTGCTGTGATGCTGGAGGCAAACCTCTCACTCAGGCTCTAATGAAATGTCATAGGAAAATGATTTTCTAAACGGGCAATTTTTATAAAGGCTAATAACAAACCACAGGGTGACCCGTGGTGAAGCAGCAGAAGGGAGGTGTGAGGTTCAGGTGGCGGGGAGGTGCCCCGTGAGGGCTGAGGCCGGAGGCCAGGGAAATCAGGCTGTTTACCAATCAAAGTCAGAGCTGGCCATGGCTTATTTTCACCGTGACTCGTCTACGGCTGTTATCATTAGATTAAGTGGTGGGAGGAGGAGAGGTATGTGTTGTATCATTGAATTAAGTAGTGGGAAGAGAGAATGGTAACAGGCAGAATCTACTTAGCAGACCAATTTGCAGTCTCCAATTACCTCGATGAAGCAGCAGTATCACTGCGGGGCGAGCGAGGCCTCGCGGGCGCCGGGGGGGGGCTGCCTGCCATGACCTGTCAGGTGCCATTCCCAGCGCGTCCCCTTCGCTCAGCTCTGCTCCTGGTTCCTGCTGTGTGGCACAGGGCTCCCCTCCCTTCTCAACGCCATGGGAATGGGGATGGGTGGGCAGACGTGGCCGTGAGAGGGGGCGGCCGCAGGTGGGCGAGCAGCACGCGGTGGGCACTGAATGTCCCCATCCAGCTGCTGCCATGGGAACCCGGAATAGCTGCGCTGCTCTGCCCGCAAATGTCAGCCCTGTGCGTGGGTGCGAGCGGCACAAGCGTGTGCGTATGTGCAGATGTGGGTGCGCGTGGGACACGAGCGTGTCTTCGAGAGCGGGGGGCACGCAGTGCTGCTGTGGTTGGGGTGCTGTGCTGCAGACCCCAGGGCGGCCGCCTGACCCCGTGCCCCCACCTTGCCCCCCATCATGGCTCTGCCTGCTGGGTAGGCAGCAGGGGGGGACGGGACTGGGACAGACAGTGGTGTGTTGCCATGGATACGCTGGAGCAACAGGCATTGGGGCCAGCGCCGTGCATCGACCATATTTACCTTCCCAGAAACCGCCTCGTGCTTCAGCAATTTGCTCCAATTAGGCTCGTTACCGCATCAGGAGGCCGCGGTGACGGCAGTGCCGTGGGGACAAGTGGCGGCTGGCGCTGCAGCCCGAGGTCTGTCCCCACCCGCATCCCCATCCGCGTCCCTACCCCCAGCCCTGCCCCTGCCTTCCCCTCTCTCAGCTCACCCCGTGCCATGGTACTGCTGTCTCAGTGCCGTGGTCCCGTGGGCTGAGCCGCCCTCACCATCGCAGCCCTGGCCCTCGGCCCCATGGTCCCGACTGCTGGCGCAGGGCTGGCCCCGTGGTGGGTGAGCAGAGCAGAGCTCGGCTGGGCAGCCAGCAAGTTGTCACGTAAACAGAGGAAAATTACTGTGTGCTCGGCCAACACCATGCAGCTGGGATCAGTGCAGAGTGCCCTCCCCACAACTTGCTGGCTCCACTGACGCTGCTGCCTTCGCTGCAGCCCCTTCAGCCCGGTGGGTGTAGGCAGGCTGGGGCCGGTGCTGGGGC